TTATAATATTGAGTAGTTTCTGCTAGTTCACTGGAGGGATCATCAACATTAATTTCTGTAGAGTTGTTATCGGAGTCTGCAACATGTTTGTTCATTTTCCACTTATAAGCTTTTCATAAAGTTTGACCTGCTTGTTTGACATTCTAGGATTTTGTTTTGTTAATGATATGTAAACTCAACAGGATTTTTGTTTTTGAATTATCACTATTGTGAAGATGTATATGTTTTGTGCCACTTGAATTGTAAAATGTAGTTTCAAGAATACCAAACAATGGTACCTTTGCTTTCTACATCTCACAAACTGTTTTGCTGCATTTATGTCAGACAAGTTTTTGTTGGAGAGGTCGCCAGTTAAATACTTGTTGGAAGAAATGCATGGTGGAAATTCGTTACGGATGACAACAACCCTTGCCAATGAGAAGGATCGGGAAAGAGTATATGACACTATTTTTCGCATGCCTTGGCGTTGTGAGTTGGTAATACAGCTTGTTTTTTTTTTTTTTTTTTTTTTTTTTTTATCATTTTAATCCCCATATGATATTATATATATATATATATATATATATATATATATATATATATATATATATATGATTATGATGTCAAGCATTGATCTATGTGATCATTTCTTTATTCCGTATATGCATCTTTTAATCGGACTCTGCTAACTTGTTCCCTAAACCACCAACTATCACCCATGTCGGCTGTGGGGCCGGTTGGTGGGAGTGGCCCTCTGTCTAGATTTCTTTTAGTGGGCCCTCACTGCAACTGCAATTGCAATTGTGGAGATAGGGAACTAGAGGAGTTTAAAACTCTAATGGATCGTTTTGCTTCTAATTTCCATCAAGACAGCTGCTTCTACCCATGAGGATCACCAAAATAGTATTTCCCATAGCATCTTACAGCTTATATATGTATGTATATATATATATCTAGATATATATATATATATATATGTATATATATATATATATATATATATATATCTAGATATTGTATGTCAACACATGTGCATACAAATGTGAACGCGTGTAGATGAATCTGCCAGGATAGCTTCTTTCTCTGTGATCCTCTGTTACTGTTATATCACATATGGTTAGCATGCAGCTGATGTTGATCTCGCTACACATTCCTCCTGCAAATGCAATGACTTTATTTCTGGATTTGTGCATGCCATTTGGGATCATTGACATCTTAAATTGAGTTATAGTATTGCAAAATGTATGTTTAGAGTTATACCTAGAACTTAGTTTGTTTCTGAATTTTGTTAATGGACTTTTATTTCAGCTCATAGATGTAGGCTTCTTTGTGTGCTTGGATTCATTCCTGTCACTGTTAACGATCATGCCAATTAGGCTTCTCACAAGCTCTTGGAGGCTTTTGAAAACAAGGTATATTTACTTTACAAACTTGCAGATGCTAAATTTCTAGATAATTCAACTTTGGATATTTATATCTGCATTAAAACAGTCCTTATATGTCAATGTGATGCATTTTTTGACTTGGGCTTGGTTTGGTTTGGTTTTCAATGTTATTCATTGCATGCATGGTAAATAGTTTGATAATCTAGAAAACAACCAACATTTTATTGTTTTGACAGGCAGTTGAAGTCACTTTCAGCAGCGGATCTTTCTGACTTTGGATGTTTTCTTATGCTGGCTTCTGGAATTATTCTATTACAACAAACAGGTTTAGTAAGGGAATCTAGTCCTTAATCAATTGTTTCTGTTTTTAGGTTTGTTTGTGGTCCATTCCTAATTCTGTAGTGCATTGCTTTCTGTCTTGTGTAGATATCAGCCTGATCTATCACATGATTAGAGGTCAAGGAACGATCAAACTCTACGTGGTGTATAATGTATTGGAGGTGAGAAGAGAATATGATTAAAAACTTTTTCCAATGGTAACCAGGCGAAAAAAGAATTTCCTGGCTAGTATATGCTATTAGAATGTTACAAATTACTTTCACAAAAGAAAAGATGGGACCCAAGTTGAAGTTGGTTTTTGTTTATTTGAGGTCAATGTGAAATTATAAAGGTAGGAATGTGAAGAAAGGGTTATTTACGTAGGTATGGAATTATGCAGGTAGGAAATAGTGATGATCATTGTTTCTCTTAGATAGCAGTTTCAAGTGATAATCATTGTTTCTCATGAAACATTGAATGTTACATTGCTAGAAGCTGATTATTAGCTTAGTTTAGTACTTTAGTTGTTATTATTATTATCAGTAGTTTGTTTATAACCTAAATTTTGTGATTGCTGACAGATATTTGATAAATTATGCCAAAATTTTGGTGGAGATGTGTTGCAAACACTATTCAATACTGCTGATGGTTTTGCAAATTGCTCACCAGAAAACATGAGATATTGGCTTTGGAGATTCATCTCTGATGAAGCTTTAGCTGTGATGTCGTCAAATATCCTTTTTGGATTTATGAATTTTTTGTTAATAAAGATTAATAAGTAGTTGTTGCCTTAACGCATTCTGTACTCGTTCATTCTTTCATCCTATTAGCCCAGGCAATCACCCTGTCGACCTGTATAGTTGCACACAACAATGCGTTGTTTGCTTTGCTGGTCTCAAACAATTTTTCAGAGATAAAGAGCAATGTTTTTAAACGTTTCAACAAGGATAACATACAGAGTCTCGTATATTTTGGTAATTCCTTTTCCTTTCCCCCTCCGCTTGGCATATTGTTATTTCAAAGCTTATCGCTGTACTGTACTTTCTTACCTGTGCCTGTACTGGGAAATCTTATTTTTTATAGTCATGGATGATTTATATCCAAAACTATGGCAACATTTCAGGTCCTAATTTGGGGGAACTGTTTTTTTTTCTTAAAATATTCAATCTTTAAGCCTTTGTGGATAATTTGGTTGCAGATTCAGTGGAGAGGTTCCATATTGCATCCTTTCTCATTTTTGTCTTGGCTCAGAATATTTTGGAAGCTGAAGGTCCTTGGTTTGAGAATTTTCTTTATGTAAGTTCTTTTTCCCTTTAATTACATTCCTCATTTCTTTTTGGTCAAACGAGTTCCGCATCTTATCATGTTAACCAATGTTCAAAAACTTATAAAAACCCGTATCACAAATTTATTTAAGAATTAATTAACAAGATTGAGAAATAATGTTAATGGCAAGTTTCACCACCCAAATCCAATATTGTCTCTTAAAGTCCATTTTTTTTTTGATGTTGCAGAATGCCTTTGTGGTTTACATATGCGAATTAATGATTGATATAATCAAACATTGTTTCATTGCTAAATTCAATGAAGTAAAGCCCATTGTATATTCTGAATTTCTTGAAGACCTTTGCAAACAGGTACCTTCATTTACTTTTCATTCTTGTAGTTGTATTGTATTTACTGTTTAGACCTAGGGAATAATGATGGATGCTTTTAATTCTCAGGCTGTTATGAATGAACATAGTCTATAGATACTCTCTACTGTTTAATCAATCTGATATTCTAATTCTTTTCTTTTACATTATCATTATCATTATCCTAAATACTAATAATAATACATCACTTGTGCAACAGACTCTAAATATCCAGCCTGACAATCCAAAGAAAACCCTTACGTTTGTCCCTCTGGCACCGGCTTCTGTGGTAAGCCTGTTTTATATATATATATATATATATATATATATTATAATATATAATATATATATATATATATTATAAGTTCTTTGAAATAAGTTGTTTAAAAGCAACCTTGTTTTTTTGTTCAAGTCATACATTTTTTTTTTTCTGTATCTGTTTGTTAGATGGGGATATGACAGAGATGATTTAGGGAGATAATATTCAAGGGATTACATGAGATTTCAATGCAATCATATTTTATATATATATATTCATATCTATATATATATATTAATATATATATATATATATATATATAATAGCATTGTACTTGGAAAATCTACCCAATTATTATTATTTATATATATATATAATATATATATATATATATTATAATATAATAGCATTGTACTCGGAAAATCTACCCAATTATAACAATGCCATCGAAATACAAAACAATTTTCACACTATAGTTGAGTAGTTTTTACAAAGTATAATGTTCTAGTAATAATAAAAAATTGAAAGTATGTGCTTATATTTCTTGCATTTAATCCTTGTATCTATCTAATCACATGACAGTAAAAGTGAAAAGGAATGAAAGTAGTAGAGTGAGTATACAGTTAAATAAAAGTAGGATTGCTAGTTCTTGCCTTTAGTCCTTTTGAGTTGAAAAAGAAAAAGAAAAAAGAAATGATGTTTGTGTTTTTGTTTGAGTTTCAGGTGATACGAGTGCTGAGTCCAGTTTACGCAGCCCATATTCCATGTGGGCCGATGGTATGGAGAGTTGTGTGGATATTTATGTTGTCAGTGATGACGTTTGTGATGCTGACAAGCCTCAAACTCATCATAGGAATGGGTCTTCGTAAACATGCTACTTGGTATATTAAAAGGTGCCAAGGGAGGAAACTCCACTCCGATTAAATAATCTTTAATAATAATCATATATATATAGATGGGTACATATTTTTTTTTTCTAGAGGAAAAGTATAAATATTATCAACATCATCAGTTTTGGTTATTTAAGGCAAAGGAGTTGGTAGATTTTGTGAAATGTTTGGACCATCAACTATTTTGTTTAAAAAGACAACGTTACAGAAGTGAATAACACTAGGATTTCAAAATTCGGAACAAATCAAGTAACATACTGGCACTACAAATTGTCTTCTTTTGGATTATAGTATAAAAATACAGATAAGTTTACCCCTCAAGTTTGTTCTATGCTTTAACTATATGATGCAACCCATGTTTAGAAGTAAAAAAGAAACTCAATAGCGTATTGGCATTCATTTTTATTTAATTGTAAATTCAAATTTAGATATTCTCAACTGTAGTGAAATACATAACTCATGGATATTGTTCTAAAACCTAAATATTAGCAAAGCTCATTTTCGGGTAAACTACTAAGCATCATTCGATCAAACCCTCATCATTGAACTTTTTTTTAGGACTTTTAACTTAATTGGCTATTGAAGTTACAGAAAAATAACCAAATAGCCGTCTGTGTTTTAATCTTGCCTTCTGAGGAAACTAATATATATATATATATATATATATATATATATATATATATATATATATATATATATATATATATAGCCCCATCTAAGCTTAGGTACTAAACCTCTAAAATATGATGTTTTATCATGCTAAATATACCTGGTTTGGTTTCACTTGGTAAATATATCATTCTCCATAACATTTCTTTCTTTCATTATCGTTTTATCATCTCTGTTTTCTTTCTTCAATTATCGTTTATTAATTCACCCAAGTGAACCCCTAAACCAAAACCCTAAACCCTAAATTTAAACCATAAACCCTAAACCTAAAATCTAAACCCTAAACCCTAAACCCCAATCCTAAACCCTAAACCCTAAGCCTAAACCCTAAACCTAAACCAAAACCTAAACCCTAAACCTAAACTCTAAACCTTAAACCCTAAACCTTACTGTGTCGATCTTGAATTTACATCTTGAAATATTAATCGTGAATCCATTAACCGTAATCTTTATATAGTAAAACAATTTATTTTCAAGATGTTTAGTACTTAAGCTTAGGTGACGTAACAACCCGAAGTTGTTCATCGCCAAAACCCGTTCTACCCGAAAAATTCGTCGTTATCAAATTCGTTCCGTTTTCACTTTGGGTTAGATTATTTAAACTTATATGTTAATTATAATTTAATGAGTGTCCAAACCCCTTTGGAATTCATGAAATTAACCCAAAAGTGTTTATTTCAAAAAGTTAGAAAAGTTCCCGCCGGGTTACGGTAACTTAATCGGGTGCGACCTAAAGCCTCGTTTAATGCCGGTACCGGGTAGAATTCCACCGTGTCCAAGTTTTAGAACCTATATAAACGTGTTTAAACATTCATTTGAAGCTTTTTTCTTCCTCTCTCTCTACTCTCTCTCTAACCTCTCTCCTAAATCCAAAGTTTAAGGGTCCAAAACTTAATTTTAAGGCCTCAAATCCCTAAGGTACCTTCCTAACCTTAATGTATAGCATATTTGGCTTCTAAATTCGGGATTTAATCATCATTTAAGGCCTTGAATGTGAGTTTACGGCCTTGGTTGAAGCTTAGGCCATAAACACATAGTTAAGGGGTTTTTAAGCCCTACAACCCTTCCAAACCACAATTGGACCTTAGATATGGCTATAGACTTCATGGAATGGACTTATAACATTTTAGACATGGATTTTGAGTGATTTGAAGGAGTTTACGGCCAAGGCACATGCTTGGGCCGTAAACTCATATATATATGTGGGGTTTTTATGACCTTAAACCCTTCCAAAACACTAATAAGGCTTAGATATGAATTTTAGAATATTGGTTTTAGCCTTGGAAACACTTTAAACATAATTTTTGGGGAATAAATAGGAGTTTACGGCCAAGGTTCATGCTTGGGCCGTAAACCCCTCAAAAATGGATAATAAACTCATTTTAACATGTCCAAATGTCTTTAAACTTAACCAATAGCCTTGTGGTAAATTCTAGAGCCATCTAAAAATAGTTTGGGGACCTTAAACACATTATTTGAAGGATAATTGAGAGTTTACGACCAAGACTTGTGCTTGGGCCGTAAACCCTTCATTTTGGGGTGTAAACTCCTCCAAAGGTGTTAGAAATGCCACTTTAACACCCCTAAAGCCTTAGAATAATTTTTAGAAGTGTTACAAACAAGTTTTTGGCTTTAAAACATAATGAATCCCTCTCTAGGAGAGTTTACGACCATGAGGGGGGTCTCATGGGCCGTAAACTCCAAAAACCCCTCAAAAGTCCCATAAAAATTCATGAAAGGCCTTGAAACAATTTTAGCAATCACATGTGATTTGTTTGGAATCCAAAAACACAAATTTTTCATAGGTTTATAGGAGTTTACGGCCATGAGTCCTATGCTAGGCTGTAAACTCCCTTAAATGTTTCTATTTGGTGTTTAAAAATTATTCCAAGCCCTTAAACCAAACCTAGAAATTATTCCCTAAGTGTTTGAAGCCATTTTACACCATAAACTACCCCACCATGAGTTTACGACCGTAAACTCATGGGGAGAGGGTCATTAGGGCCGTAAACTCCCTAAGGAGTGTTCTTTTGAAGTCCCAATTCAATATCCTAACTATATGTGTCCCCAAATGTCACCCGGGTCCCTCCAAACACTTGTATCGGGGTGTTTTCGCGACTAGAAGTAATTGTCCCTAACAAATAATCAATCTAAGTACTAATTAGATACAAATGTGTATCTTTACATTATACTTAGGAACCTCGTGCGTTTGCAAGCCCCCGACCAACGTTTAGCATCCGAAATCGTCACATTTCTCGTCCGGTGAGTTCATACCCCTACGCCCTTTTCCGTGTTTTTCAATGTTTTCAGGGGGGGAATACAAGCAAACTATAACTGTTTTCAAATCATAATATTGATATGTTTCAAATATATCTGACAAACTTATAAACTCTTTTACTCCTTATGTATTATGTTGAGCATAAGGAATGATTTATCAATTACAACTAAATGTATTTTAGTTAAGAAAATAACCAAACTAATCAAATTATTATGGGAATAGTTTGGGGTTCTTTATTGTTCATTTTATCATGTACTGATATCTATATAAAGTTATTAGATAAACTATGTCTGATTCAGTTTATCTCCGTATCATTTGAATGTATTGTCAGATAGTTTCATTGTATGTATCTATATTCGTTGTATTACGTTTCATAATCTTCTGTATGTTGATAGCGTATGAGAACCCTGTGAATAGTTTAGTACTAGTTTGTGAGATAGTCACTACCCTTTATGGATGATCAGTAAATCCTCCCCGGAAGTGTAACCAGAGTCTCCTGGAGGGAGAGCGAGGAATTTGTGAATAGATCTATTCGGGACTGACAATCCCACACCTTAACTGCTAGCTACAGTTAGGCGGGCACGCCTGGGGTGACAAATTTCTGGATATCATTCGACGTCTGACAAGCGTCAAGGAGGTCTCGTTGTCGTATTAGCATGGTTACCCGACTCACAACATGTATTAATATAAGTTTATTCACAGTATCGTTTTGACTTTGTTTCGATTCCGTATCTACTTTTTATATGGTATTTACAACTTGTACGAGATGTTTGCCCCCATGATTATTAACTATATCTTATACGGGATAGTAATCCCATGGTTTTGAATCAATAACTATTTCGGGATAGTAATCCCATGGTTTACACTCATATCTTGTCCGGGATAGTGATCCCATGGTTTTTAATCTATATCTATTACGGGATAGTAATCCCATGATTTCAATCTATATCAAGTACGGGATGATAATCCCATGGTCTAAATCTATATCTTGTCCGGGATAGTAATCCCATGGTTCCCAATCTATATTTTTATATATATATATATATATATCAAATTATCTTGTGTCTAGTCCGGGATGGTAGTCTCATGGTCTTAAATATGTATTTTCATATGTATCAAACTATCTTATATCTTGTTCGGGATAGTGATCCCATGATTTTCAATATATAGTTTTGTGTATTAAACTATACTTTGTGATATACAACTGGTCTTACAATTAGGAAAATATGGGATTTTCCTGGGGTAAAATACAACACGTAATCGAATTGGTAACAAATGATAACTAAACTAACTTTACATAAGAAAATATGGGATTTTCTTGGATAACAAACCTTTTCGGAAAACTAAAGGAAACCGATACACTTTCATAAAACAAAACCGCTTATGAACTCACCAACTTTATGCTGATTTTCAAACCGCTTGTATTCTCAGGTCCAAGTTAGACAGGTACCCGGCGATATCTTTTGGTGAAGACGGAGTGCTCAGAAGACTCATCTCAACTTTTGTCAATATGATGCATATGTATATCTTGTATAACTTTACTTTTTAAACAAATGTAAACTTTCATATATATATGTAATGTAATGGTTGTTTACTGTGATTACTATGTACATTGGATTTGATACACAACGTGGAGTCCACCCCGGAAATGTTTCCACCTTCGGTTTTTGGGGTGTGACAGATTGGTATCAGAGCCCTTGTTTATAGTGAACGGAGTATACCAAACTTTACATGGTATAAAACTATAAACACTAAAGGGCCTCAGTGCTTTGAATTAAAAGTATCTTCAAAACTATAAGTATTTTCAAAAGTATACAAGTATACTGAACCGTCGTGATCCGTAACTACAAGTAGAACAAAACATAAATAAATGGGTGTTGTGCGCTGCGGTTAAACCTAGGCAGTTATGTAGTCTTGTCTAGGATCAATATATCCTGGCAAACTATATTCATTCGAGACACGACCAACATGTGCTTGGGAGTGACTGTGGTACGCAACATGCCTAAAACTTACCCAATACCCAGACAATGAGTCGTCGTTGCAACGAGACAAGAAATACTATGGGAGTATTTCTCGAGCCAATCCTTCGTAGAAAATCCTCGTATACGCGATGTTACTTGACCATTCCTCTAGCGATAAAATGTTCTGTCTTGATAAATCTTTCCTGCTTTATCGCTTAGTATGATGCTATATCTGTCTTGGTGAGATATCCCCTGTTCCATATCTCTTGATTCAATTCAGAGGACTTATGATCCTCTCTTTCCTGATCTTTTTAGATCAAGATGCCTCCAAGAAAGAGACCCAACTCGAAGAAC